CGGACCAAGCTGCCCGTAGAGGTTCAACCCCGGGCGGGGTGGGTTCGCCCCTTGCGGTCTCGGTAATTGCGGGGAAAAAGAACCCCCGCCGGCAAATCGAAAAGGGCCGAGCCAGATCCGTCCCGTGAAACTGAGACGCGGGCCGGCGCCGGGGATCTGCCGACCGCACGGGGAACGCGGGGGGGCGGGCTACGGATGAGAAACTGATTGCTCAGAAGGGGATTTCGAACCGTGGAGAGGGTCCTGAGAAAGAAGTACGATATGGTGGATTTTTTTTTTCTTTTTAAAAAGAAACCGTGGCTTTCCCCAAAAAATAAGGGCGGGGGAGGGGGGGACACAGGACAGCAAAGGTTTCTGATGGATGCAACTAAAGGGATACGTAACCGGCAACGCTGCGCACACTCCAGTCCACTTTGCATCCACCCCCCCCGGTTGAAACGCTTGCCTAACGTCACCGTGGGAAGGGTCAGGATTCACAGTGTGATCCCGCCAGCGGCCGGGTAGCTGAGTTTGGGCGCTGGCGTTACGTTTGCGTGAAAAGGCAGCTGTTCTGACCCAGCGGGGCGAGTTCCTGAGTGTTGCCACAGGCCGGAGGGGAGTTTCGCCTCCCGCCGATCCTGATTTCGCCTTTTCCCCAAAGGAGCCGCAGGATGGACCAGGGCTGGAGGGGAGGCGAGAGAAAGTCTTCCTGCACGATTGGCCCTTGCGGGAAGACCACAGGCTACTTAAAACTACATTTGCAGCCAGTACAGAAAAGTCCGCTAACCTCCGGCTTACCAAAGCCGAGCCGCCGAAGGAGAGGGCTGCGTTTTTTATCACCTGTTTGAAAGCCCTGCAAACCTTCAGCTTCTCTCAAAACACAAATTTACGCACTGGCTCAGACCCTCTTCTCCCCTCCGCAGCGAACCCGAACCCAGTCGCCCTGGCGCTAACCGAGTGGAGCTTACAGTCAAACGCCACTTAAAATTTTCCTAGACGGTTGTGATTTTGAAGGAGGAGGAAAAAAAAAAATCAGGGAAAGGCGTGTGTGCACGCGCGCCACGCACCTGTGATGACGTGGTATACTCAAGCAGGAACAGAGCAAAGATATACCTGCTGAAGAACTGCTTCGTAACACAACCAGCTACTGGATGGAGAGTGAATAGGATGTTCATGGAACAAAAATAATTAAATAAAAGAACATGCACACGCAACGTGTGTGCAAAAAACTGGCTGTTTTTTTTTTACATTATCCCTGCAACTCCCTTTAATGCTTCTGCTCCTACCAGCCATTCTGAAATTACTGACCTATGGCGCTCCCTTCTCTTGAATCAAAGGGTTGCTTATATATATTCCTCTTATATTAAAAAATCAAGTCTATATTCTCGTGAACACCAGGTAAGAAGTAATGAATTTATGAAGTTGCTGATGAGAGTAGGGTTGGGAAAGAGGCAAAAATCAAGAATTTGTGGAAATTATAATCATCTTTTTAACCCCTAACCCGAAAAAGTTATTTACAGACTTAAAAAGCCATGCTGCCAAGCTCTCTTTAAAATTATGACGTTTGCCTACAATGTATTAAAATAAAAGTAGATTTTCTTTTAAAATTCTTATTATAGCACTTGGATTTTCAGAGGTTGTTAAGCCACCTACTTGCAATTCTTGTTTTTTTTTTTTAAGTATATATATATAAATTGAATATACTTTTTATGCACAGTGGCTTGCATTAGAGGTTGTGAACCTGAAACTAGCACCTACTCAAAATGAAAAAAAAAAAAAATTAAAATTAAATCGAACCAACGCCCCAAAACATACCAAACCGATGTCCCAAGATTGCCCGAGGAAATCATCTGAACAATTTCTCTCTCTATGCCAGCGGTTTCATACTGTCTCTCCTCCCCCCGCAATCCCCAAAAAAGGCTTCTTAACAGGGTTAGTCATGCAAGGAGACTCCTGAACGGCTCTTGAGAAATCTTTTCTACAAATGAATGCTACAGAACGTATGCACCGGTTAACGTCTCGAGATGTCGGGCTCTCTGGCGAGCGTGTGGCGGGGGTGTTTTCCGTGCGAAAGGGAGGGCGTCCTCTGCGGAGGAGAATCCTTTTGCTTTTCGGCGGTTCTCGCGATAGACACATTCCGTTTCTCCCCAAGGACCGGGATCTTGAGTAGTCAGCGGTACAAATAAATAAGATATTACAACTGCTTGTCGCCCTCTTTCTTCAGGCGGCTGGAAAAGAAAAGGCGGAAAGTAGGAGCCAAGCGGGCGAACGGAACGCCTGTTTCTTAGGCAGCCAGCGGACTGCGGGAGGACGTGGCTGCCAGGAAGCGTCCCCTTACCTGTAATAGTCTTCTTGGCTGGGAAGGTGCCCCCCGTGGATGTGGGGGTGCCCGTGAAGCCACTGCTGCTCCATCGCGAGTCGCTGAAGCTCCGCCGACTGGGCGTGCATGGCCTGCAACTGATGGGCCGCTGACATGGGAGGAGGAATGGCGCCAGGGAGGTCACGCGGGTAGGGGGCACCTGGGAGAAACAGGGACAGGCGTCTTGCTCTCCGGTGGCAAGCAGGAAACGGGTCCCCAACTTGACGCTGAAAGCTACGGGGGGCACGGAGCGAGGGGACAGCCAGCCTTATCGCGAACGGCTTTCCCTCCGGATCACCCGACTCTCGATTCCCCGCGTAACATAAAACACTGGTGTTCAAGAGACGGCTGGAAACGGCGAGGGGTATACTGGACCCACAAGATGTGGTCCCTGTCTGTCAGGGTCCATCAGCAAGCAAAACCTGGCAGCGTTTCTATTGGGGAATGTAAGCGGTTCCTTCGGATCACCCCCTGGGACCTCTGTGCCCCACTAGTGCGCGTGCCAGAGGCACCGGGCTGGCCTTGCTGCAAACCCAACTCTCACCTAGACGGGGCTTCAGCCACGTCCACCCACCGCCCCAGCCCGTAACGTGGTTGGTCCGATAGGGAACCCAGCGGCTGCAGCACGCAGACCACGGCGAACCCAGCCTGCTGCCTTCCTGCGGGTGAGCGAAGCCCAGCTTCCCGCGATGCCAGCGGTCCCCACTCACCGAAGACCGGATGCCGCAGCATTTCATGCTCGTGGGACGGCTGTCCTAGCAGCGGGTTTGGGATAGTGCCGGGAGGGTAGGGGAAACGTGCCAAATGCGGTCCGGCGGCCAGGGGATCCACGAGGGGGTGAACGGGTCCTGCTGAGCCTGCAAAGGAGAAGAGGCCAGGAGGGCGGGAGGGGGCAGGAGAAAGAAATGACCACCTGCTTAAAACCCTGATTTCATTCAGAAATCCAAATCATCCTTATTCGCTGGGCAAGGCCGAGCATCACCGGCATCCATCAGGAACCCCTCCTCCTCTGCCCGGCGCGCCTGAAGCCGCAGTGGCTTGCCAGTGGTTGCAACAAGGAAAGAGGAACAAGGAACGTCCCCCCAGAAAAGAATTTTGACAGAGCACTTGCAGTCACTCTTCTTCCTCTTCTTCACAGCAGCTCCGTCCCACGTCTCAAAGCTTTAGCAAACTTAATGCACGACGCAGGAGGAACCACTCGCGAGAGCCAGGCGGACTGGCCCTGGATGAGGCACGAGAGCGGCCATTTTTCTATGCTCAGGGGCACTTTTTCCCTCAAGTATGTCACTCTGCACGCCGCAGGGGCCAACGGCACACAGATTCCGAGGCTGTGCCTGACGAGCACCGAGCTAAGCAGGGCTTGAGGGCCATTTTCTAACCAGAGGAAAAAATTGGACTGGGGGGGGTGACGCAAGAAACCGCCTCTTCTGGCAGAGGATCTGTAGGCAGGCCTTTTCTCCAGAACGTTAAAGGAGAACGTCGTGCAGCGATAAAGCTGCTGCCGCCTTAGGGAGAACCCTGAAGCCCAAGCGTCCGCACGTCGAAGCAACACTGCCTGCGTAGACTCTTTCCCCGGGCACAGCTGCATCCTCGGCTGCTGCTGAATCCCAGTTCTAAAGTTTCCCCAATCCCGCCCGCCCGGGGTTCAAGCCTCTGGGTTCTGCGTTAATCCAACCCCCCTCCCTCGTCTTCTGGGAACGGCGCATGCCGCATCATGGCAAGGAGCAGTCCAGAAGCGTTCGACCCTATCACTCTGGCCGAGGCGCTGTACCATTTTTCAAGGCAAGCCCTCAGACCGGAGCAGCCTCCCCAAGTTGGCTGATGCTGGGAGCGCAGCTCTCATCTAGCCTGGCCAACAGGTTGGAAATACTGGCCTTTCTCTGAAAACCTTGGGCTGACTATTCCCGCAAGAGTTGCACCACCATGGACTCCGTCAACCACCATCCTTCCCCGGCCAGAGGGGCTCCCCCAGTGCCTGCCAAACCAGACCTTGGACTGAGAAGTCACCTCCATGCGCGTGCACCTCCTTAGGAGCTCTGTGCACCTCTTGCGGTTATGCAGTGCCCCTACTCTTGAGGGGAACATCTGCAGGAACAGGATGGGACTGAAGAACCCTGGTTCTCTTTCGACCTCATTTCCGGCCCCTGGGCTGAACCACCGCCTCCCTCCTGGTGCGGAGAGATTTGCTCAGAGGATGCCAGTGTGGAAAGGCAAGCCGTGCGCAGCCTTGAAAAGCACCAAGCAAAACCTACACCCAAAACTCACAGGCCAAAGGACACTGGGGAAATCAGGACCTCCCCGCACTGCAAAGACCAGGAGCCGCAGGATCTCGCTCTCAGAAACTGCAAGTTTCCGCACGTTCCCTCCCGTTTGGGACCACGAGGTTTCCCATGTCTGCCGTAGGGCACTTCTGAAGTGCCCTATTATTCCCCACACGTGTCTGAAGGCCTTTAAATGCGAAAAGGGCTTTCTGTTCCCTTCTTCATTCCTGCGCCCAGCATTCCTGGGTTAGTATTTTTCTCGTTTGCTTCCCAAAGTGGGTAAAATAAAGTCTCTCTGCATTGAGCTCAGCGCTGAAGGAAGCCACAGGTCTGTCTGTGGAGTGTTTTTGGCAAAAAACGGGAATGAGCTCTTGGTTTAGCCTACAGCCCTGATAAATCCCACGCCTTACAGCGGCCCAGGGTGTCTACTGGATCCTACCGGCCCTCACTGAAGCTGAATTTAGATGGGAAGGAAGACGTTCCAGGTAGGTAGGAGAACGTCTCCTGGGGAGGGTAGCAGGAACCAGCATTTTTAACCAAACTCTGAAAGGGATTCCCTTAAGTACCGACTCTACGGCTACGTTCGAACCCTGCTCATCCTGATGTGCTACAGCTCTCCTGCCAGGGAGAGGGTGCTCTACACACCGAGAAAGCGCCCTTGCCCTGGGATCGTCTTCGAACTCAGCCAAGGGGCGGTGCAGGTCATCGGGTCTCACCTTGATGGAGCGGGTCCTGCTGGTGGAGGTGCAGATGTGAGTGTATGTGGGAATGTTGGTGGTGATGGGGTGTCACGTTGAACATCTGGAGCCTGGCCAAGGGGTCATTGGTGAGAGACGCCATTCGCTCGGCATGTATCCTCTCAGCAGCCAGTCTGTCCGGGTAGCTCATTTCGGGCCGTAACTGAGGGCCCGCCAAAGCGAGTCTCTCCCTCTCCAGGGGGTTGAGCCCGGGGTGGAAGGAAGCAAAGGGGTGCGGGCCTGCTGTCGGGGGAATGGTGAGGGCACCGTGACGGGCAAAGTGCTCCATGGGGTTGGTGGCCGGGTGAAGGGCGTCGAGTTCGGGAGGCTTCACCTCGAAACCCGGCTTCATCCTCTCCCGCAGTTCCCGCTCCCGGATCTCCCGCTCCCGGATCTCCCGCTCCCGCAGCTCTCGCTCCCGGATGGTGGGGTCCACGTTGTAGAGGCCCGGCATGTGGTAGGCCAAAAGCGGGTCGGTGGGATTGAGGGGGACGAAGAAGGGGTGGTTCCGGTTGGTGGGGGACATGACATGAGGACGCGCGTACTCGCTGAGCGTCCGTAGGGCTGGGGTGTCCGGCCCGATGTATGGGGGGACGGCCGCGATGGTGGTGGGGGGCGGTTCGAAGGATGGCCTCATGTGCGCCGGCCCGCTCAGCTGAGAGTCTCCGAGACGCCCGTCGTGGGAGGAACTGGACGCTTTCTGCTATTCCAGAGAGAGGAGGAAAGGGAGGCGTTTAGTCCAGCAAAACAGCCCGGGTGTCTTCTACTCCCCCAATTCTCCTGCCGTGGGAGGAACTGACTACACGCAGGGCTTCAGAGCCAAGTGGACACTTAAACAGCGCCTCGTCTGGAGTCAGGAAAGCCCACACACTGCTCGTGGAGGACACCCCTGAGCCGGCCTTCATTCTCCGTCCCTGTTGGGGTCATGCAACATCCCGGAGCGTGTTGGCCAAGGCAACAGTGGGGGGATCCAGAGGAAAGCTCATCTCCCCTAGGAAGGCAGGCACTGGAGGTCTCAAGGCACACGGCCTCACTCGTGACCTGCGTCCTTGGGAGCCCCTGCTGGAGCAACCAATCTCTTCCCAATTTCTATCTCACATTAAGCCATGGCCGAGTCGCTAAGTCAGCTGGTTGCGCCCGTGGGTGTATATGTGTATGTATGTACACGTGTGCGTCATCCATCCATCCATCCATCATCTATCATCTCCCCTAAAGGATGACTTCCAGATCACAATGACTGGGTTCAGATCAACCCACGTATGACCTTGCATGGTCTGTAAGCTCAGCTCTTGGGCAGGATGGGCTCCTATAAACTGGTGGGGTGGAGTTATTTTTACCCCAAGAAATCCTTAGGAGTTATTTTTCTAGACAAATGCCTTCCTGAGAGTTCCTTTCCTGCTCCCCATTTTCAGGCAGGAGATCTTCTCACTGGATTCAGCCCCCGTCCCACCACCCCACCTTCGCAGACGGAGAAACCTACCGCCGCCCTTTCGGCCTCTCTCTCGCGCTCCCGTTCTCGTTCCCTCTCCTTCTCCTTCTCTTTTTCCCGTTCCCTCTCTTCTCTCGCTTTCTGCTCAGCTTCGCGCTTTGCCTTCTCAATCGCCTCTTCCCGCTTCTTCGCCAGCTTGGAGCCTGCCAGGGGCATGAAGTACAGATCCGTCCTCGCGCACGAGTTGGAGCCACGGCCCAGGCGCCTGTAAAACCCGCAGGTTGGGGGGGGGGTGGAGATGAGGAACTCAAGCAATCAGGACGGAAAAAGCAGGGGGAGCCTGAAAATTAAGGGAGATTTTCACAGAACTAAAACGTGCAGAAACCGGGAAAACCCGAAGTGTGGGAAAAGACAAGATATTAGCCTTGTCTTCCTAATTTGGAAATAAAGTTTTGGAGGAACAATCCTTTGAACCACAGATGCCTTGTGCTAACTTTTCCCCTATTATGGGAGAGCTGGGGTGCTGAAATTGATTATGATATTGTTACGTGATTGATACCTGTCTATATTTTATTGCTTTCCTTGTTCTAGACTCAGATGTACACACATACAAATCACAAGGGTACTACGCAGCGCTAGAGTACTTCTTAGATGTTTGGAACTACAATACCCATTATTGTAGGGATGGGATCTTTGGTCTACCCTATGATGGGATCTTTGATCTACCCCCCTCCACCAGAACATCAGTTGGAAGAACGGTCAGAACCTTATTTCTTTACTGATTTTTCTCTGCATTATTCAGACTGTCTCGATCATTAAGGGCCTGACATTTTATGGTGTGATGCACTAAGCCACGTTTTAACTATGGTTTCCTGAATACCCCACAAGTGGCTGGGCATCTAGGTCCCCCCAGCCTGTCCAAAACATCTGTGTTCCAGCTATGCAGATGGAGCAGGTGTCATGAGCTGACCCTGGCTGATCCGGAAGGGCGTTTCCACGTCTCCCAACAAGGGCGAGCTCCGCCTCCTCACCTGGCTGACTGACTGGCATGGCTCGGGGTATCCACCACGGTGGGTTCTGGCGAGGGGCTCCGGGTGGGGGGAGGTGGGCTCTCGGGCTCCTCGGCCTCATCGGGCGCCTCCTCCTTGATCTGGATGGACGGGATCGTGCAGGCCGTCACCACGGGGACATTTCCGCCACAGGCTGCTGAGGTGGGCACAGCCCCCTGGGTCGGGGCACTTGGCACTGATGGTGGCGTGGAAGTTGATGGGCAGGAGGGAGGCGTCACGGGGGGCGGCCCCCCAGGAACAAACGGGTGCTGGGCGAAGGAGGGCTGGGGAGGGGCCGGGTGGCTCTGGGTGAGGACGGGCGGCTGGGCCGGGGACGGCTGCAGCGGCTGACTCTGGGGCATCAGCTGCAGAGGAGGGGGGTGCGCCGAGGGCGGATGGTGGGTGGAGAGAGAGCTGAGCGGCTTCAGCGCGGGCGGCGGGGGCAGATTGGAGTTCATGGAGAAAGGCGAAGGGCCCGAGAG